CCCTCCAGATGCAGCAGCAGATGTTAGCTGCATCCTTCCCTGCCCTCTGCTGTGGGGAAGCTGTCCATTGGAGCTCAGTGGGCCAGGGTGGGAGCTCCTGGCTCTTCCACCTTGGCTGCCAGCAGGAAGGGTAGCCCTTCAGGTGAAGGATGAAAGACAGGCCTGCTATACAGAACAAGGAGGTCTGCAAAGGGCTGTTCTGAAGAGAGCTGCCTGGAGAAGAGGTGGACATTAGTTATCAGGGCAATTCCCTTCTCCTCTTTAAAAATGAAAGAACAATCATTCACCATTTATCTCCCTCAATGAGCCCTTAGAGGTACTGTGGGGAAAGGAGGGAAGTCCTGCTGTATTTGGCAGCATCCTTTCTGAGAGTTAAAGTTGCAGATCTCTTTTTTCTTTCTGGGCTTGCTTTTAGTTGCCCCAGTCCCCTCAGGGTTCAGTGGTAGAACTCCAAGAAGAAATTGTTTTTATCTGTCAGTGGCCATTGTTGATGTTTGGCTTGTACACTGAAAAAACTTCGGTAACGTGTCACTTCATGCTTTTCAGAGTTAAGCTGCATGATAACAAGATGAGCACATACTGTGCTATAGTCTGATTCTCATGTAATTTAAGTAAGACAGTGTCAGCCTTTGGCATCTGCAAGTTACAGAGAGTTTTTCAAGCTTAGGAAGGAAGAGATAATCAGTGTCAGTTTGCTGCAGATTGTGTGGGAGGACAAGAGAAGAGGAGAAGTGAGGGGAAGACTATCACCAGTACAGAAGGGATCCTTTCAGTATCTGAAGTGAAAAGATGACAGAAATAACAATAAAAAAAGTTGAAATGCAGCATTACCACACACTTAAGCCATGTGATGGACAGCACAAGTGCTTTGATAACTACTACAGTAGACAGACACACAGACATACTCCGTTGTTGATGCTTGTGCTTCCTGTCCTTGGATTTGCACTGAAGAAGCAAATTCATTTTCAAGTAGGCTAGTATGATTAAATCTGCCCCCACATCCCTGCCTGCAGTCCTGACCCTATGGACTGTAAGAGCAGTGTCCTATGACTTTGACCCTGGGTTAGCTCCACACAGCAAGAGCGCATGCACCCGCTCCTTGCCGATAGCTTTGCCCTGCAGAGAAGCCTTCAACCTAGGCAATTATATATTAACTTTCACTTAAGGAAAACAGATACCTGCATCTAGTAGGTTGCATATCATGGTTGTAGTGAGAGATGGCTCCTTTCATCAGACCCATCTGGTATTAAAAACTGGAAGAAACAAAAGCAATAGCATCTGACAATGCTTGAGGTTGAGCCTGATATGCAGAACGTCATATGCCTGGTCTGAAGAGACCTTTCTAAGAAGGGACTGTGGCTCCCTGTAGCAGGCTGGCAGCATTTCTGTGGTGCTCATCTTACCTTCAACTGAGAAGGAACAGGTATCACTCAGATCTGTGCTAAAGGAGAGGAAACCACTGTTTCATCAGCTGGTGCCTCACAGCAAACGCAATGGCAGTCACAACAAATCACTGGGTAAGATGTGGGTAGAGACATGTCAAAGCACACATTCATTAAGAGTACAATGCTACCAGTCATTATGCTCCTTAAAGTGATTTAACTACAGTTATTAGAGAGCATACAGTTTCGCTGGACAAGTTGTAATCCCTGTCAGTAAACACCAGAAACACACAGCCTGTCTAGAGCTGGGTGAAGCAAACAGTTCATTTCCATGGCTCATTAGCACTGTCTCAGTCCCCTTCAATCTGACTTGTTTCTTGTTCCCCTTCTTTCAGGTAATCGTGCTCTCCTCTGCACTCCTGACCCCACACAGTGCTGTTGAGTTGTTGTTTGCCCCAGACCATCTCCAGCCCGACACTGATATCTGACAGAGGAGGATCTGTGGAGAAGATGAGTGAGTGCCTCACCCGGAAACATCAGATCCCCGGTCTGTCACTCTTCTTGGTAGCCCTCCAAAAACTGACGTGTCACCTGCTGCAGTTACAGCTCCAGGTGAAGCAGCTGGGTATCTGGCTGCTGGGTATCTGGCTGCATGTGCAGCTCATGGGCAGCTCTTCAAAATGGTCCAGTTGTCCAGCAAGAAGTCCCCCCCTCCTTAACAATAGCACTATGCAGTTTGAATCACTCCCAGCCCCATTTGACATGGTGAGGGTGATTGTCATAATTCCCTAGAAAAGAAGCAGCTGAGGACCAGGTGATTCTGAATTTTCCTTCCCCAATGAGCAGTACTTTTTTCTCTGAGAATTCCTGATGGTTTTGCTGGGGTTGTGTTTGGTAAGAAATGCTGCTGAGGGAGTGAAAAGCCAGCAAAATCGACCCTTTGTCATGCTACCTTGAAAAATATGTGTGCCTTATACCATGTGAAAAGCCTCTGCTCTTACTTCATCCCTCACTGCAGAGGGATGGAGCACATGGAGCACAGCCCTGATTTAGCTGGTAGGGCAGCTCCCAGTCCAGTGATACTCTCCTGGCAGGACTGGTAGAGGCAGGGAAGCGGAGAACCAGACTCAAGGGCTGGGTTACATGGCTGCTTCTCTCTTAGCTTTCTGTTTCCTGCTCTAGTTTCTCCACCCACAGTCCCAGGAGAAAAGACTGTTTCTGATGGCACACATATCTAGATTTACACAGGAGGGCATATGGGCTGTGTTGGTTTGATGATAACCCTGGAAGAATCCTCCCCTCACATGCATTTAAAAAAAGAGAGAAAAAAAAGGCATGGTCCCATTTTCAAGAGGCCACAGCACAGATCCATTCTTGAGCTAGGTTTCTGAACAGCATGATTAGAGAACTGTTTTTATTTTATGTTCACAAAAGAGCTGCATTCAAATTCAGTTATGTAATTTTTCTTTATAAAACTTTGCTACGATCTATGATAACAAAGCAGCAGCCAACAGAAATTGTAGTTGCATATAGCACCGAGATTTCCTAATTGCAGCATAAAATGGTGGAGCTCTAAAGCTGCATCCTTTTTCTTCATTTAAGGAATGCTATGACTACAGCTTACAGTGAGATGAGAATGTGAAATTATAAGTGGCATTCACTCTATTATAGCATTCTTTATTATGCCAAAGAGTAGTTTAAATGGGAAGTAGTTTTTTTTACATTTTGTTCACTAGCTAGCATTAGTTCTCCTAAATGTTTATAATGGTCTTCAGAAAAGGGTGCATTTTGGTTTAAGTTCACTTTTGAGTGGCTGGAAGGAAACAATGGACCAATTATAAAGCATGGACAATGTCGCCTCTATGGAAGAGAAATTTATAAGGATGACTATAGAATGGAACTTTGTGCTATAAAAAATGAGAAATGTTATGTGATTGCAATATTAAAATCTCAAGGAATAGTTTGAACAGAGCAACTGGAAAACAAATAGCCAGTCTCTTGGTTTCTTTTCTGTCATTCTCTACTGTTTAATCTTAGAATATGGTTGTTTTGCAAATTCTGTAATCAATAAAGCGATGCTCTTACAATGCAAAACCTGATCCATCTTCTCCTTTTCTTCTACATGTGCCAGAACTGCATATTCCTGCGACCTTTTTTACTTTTGCATTATTTTATTGCCCCTGGGAATCTAGACCTTCTATCTTGGGAGGTGTCCTAGAATGTTTTCCACGCTCTGCTCACAGAAAGGCTCTGTAGCAGAAAGGCTCGCCTATGTCCAGTGGCCATTGCTGGCCAGTGAGCTCAGGTACTCACACCTCTGAGATGCTGCTGCTTTCCTGAGATGATGGAGGCTGCCAGTTGTGGTCTGCACTCCCTCACCTCTCTTTCGTCAGATGTTCTCAGATCTCTGACTTGGCCATCTAAAGATGTACTGTATTGAGAAGGCGAGAGGTGAGTCTAAGCAGACACTGGTGATCTTGCACTTCCTGTGGATCAAGTAGCACCTCTGACTGAAGCAAAAACTAGTTTTCCAGGCCCACACACACACACTTTGGAGGAATCTTCTCAGCCAGTGGGGCCACAGCTGTGGCAATTGATACTGGAACTCAGCCACCATCTTATACTCAAGTGCTTCTAGACCAAAACTGCACCGGAGTCTTTCCAGTGGCCCTAGTGAAATAGTGAGCTCTGATTTGTAGGAATTAGCTGTAGCAGCTACACATAGCCTGTGCTCAGGGAATAGGTGAGATGAGAGATCTTCTCCTAGTTTCATGTGGGTAGGAACAGCACAGAAGAGATTTGCTTGGGCAAGTGCAGGACCACAGCAAGGAGTGTCTTAAGTCCTCTGCGTGTGACACCAAGCAATACTCAAAAGGTAGGAAGAGAAGCCACCCTTGGCACATAGGGGCAAATATTAATACTATATTAATAAGCTAAGCGGAATTTTATGTAAGTTCAGACTGGTAGAGCAAGCTCAGTTCTGTTTGCAACTCCTGTCCTAAGTCACTTTGTCTCGTAGCTCATCGTCCAAAAGATTATCATCAGCAGGACCCAGTCAGAGTTTCCCTGCACCAGTTATTACAGCTGTGTGCTAACCAGGTGAGCCTGTAGAGCAGTCAGCCTCATCCCAACACAAACATCCTCCCAAGAAAGGCTCTCAGTAAAGCTACTTTAAATGTAAGGTAGTTGAAGACTTGCAATTTGATTAAATTCTTCCTTGTGATATAGCTCAACACATTTTTTTTTAAGGAGAAAGGGGCAGTCACTTAGAATTTGTGTTCTTCCAGATTTTGACCTACCTCACACCATTCCTTTCCCAGTTGAGAAATACTGAAGTATTTTTGACAAGGGGAAATAAAGAATCCCATTTTCATTTGAAAGGTCTCTGCCTTATTCAGTTCCTCTCCTAAAAGAATTTCTTAAAGAGGAAGTTGTAAAGCAGTTGTAAGAGCTCCCTCCCTGTGGTTTAAGCTAATAAAGGAACAGCACAGGCAGGAAAGGCCACCTTACTGTTTCTGCAATGTGTGTTAACTACCTTGAGAAAGCTATTGCTTTATCTCAGCATTTCTCTGGTTGTTACCCATTGATCCCCATCCACAGACAACACAGGAGGAAATATGCAATTGAAAAATTTAATGTTGAACAAGGCAGTAAGAATGAAAAGTCCACTCCCTAAGAGGAGCAACTGTACACAAAATAAATAAGTTACAGTTTAAACAAAAGCACAACTGGCTTTTTAAAGTGCATCTGTATAAGGCCCTTAGGCTGTGAACTCCATTGACTCAATATTTAAAAAAAAAAAAATTCTATATATAAATCTGCCATGTGTTTAAGAATGAAGAAGGTCTGGCTCAGCTCAGCTCCAGCTTCATTGCCTGGAGCCAGCCCTGCTTCACACCTTTTCTGCCTACTGCACACAGGAGAGAGAGAGATGTCTTAGAATGGCTTCTGCAGTAGACTATCACTCCAACTCCACACTCATTCCTCAGAAGCTCCCTGTTGGACCATTTAGTCTGGAGAATACTTTTTTCAGACCATAAAAAAGTTGTTTGTAATTAGATATGCTTACACCCTGCAGACAATAGTTTTGCATACAAAGAATCTGGTCAAGTTGTCAGCGAATAACATGGCTAGTAAAAAAATAAAGGACCGTTGTTTAACAGAACAATTTCATTTTTGCTTATTTGTTTTGAAATACGAGGGGAAAAAACAAACAATTCTACCGTGCAATAGAATTAAACACATACATCATGCTGTGTCCTTCATTCACGTGAGAACAAGACTTAAGTGGTTACTTCTGAACAGTGACCTGAGGTTCAGGGCGTTTCCCTGCTCAAGTACAAGTTGAGTTACAGCTGAAAAGTTGTTTCTACACAAATGAAAGCCAAATCTGTCCAACTGGGATAAAGACAAACAGTTTCATTTACTGAAAAGTTCATTTTCCAGAGGAAAATACCTGTTCTGCAAGTAACATCCTAGAACTATTTTTCAAGGGTTTTTGTGTTTGGGTTGTTTTTTTTTTTTTCCAATCTGACATTGTTCCTTTTTTAAGCAACTGCTTAGATACTTCTAAAGCCATGAAAAAGGCTACTCAAACTATCCTCCTTCTTTCACATGCCTTGGACTCTAGATGTGCCAGTGTTAAATACCCAAGGTTTCAATCTCAGGCAAAAATGTCAGGTAGACCAAGGGCACCACTGTCAAACAGAAGTGACAGTCCTCACTTTGGCAGACAAAGCTTGCTTAAACCTTCTCTTGAGATCCTGCATGTTGGGTGATTTTGGCCGTGGAATCAGAGAGGTTCTCCTCCTCTCAGGGGTGCTGGTTATTTGCTGTTTACTGACTTCTTTACAGAGGAGATGGAAGGCATTGAAGACATTGTTGTAGTTTTCACTGACAGATACTTCATAGAAAGTACAGCCCAGCATATTGGCCAGCTGAAGTCCCTGCTGAGGCTCCACCTCTTTGATATGCAAGAGATCGGCTTTGTTTGCAACGATGACAACAGGGACCGTGTTCCCTGGATGCAGCTGTCGAACGTGATGGTAAAGGTGACTGAGGAGCTCAAAGCTCTTGTAGTCTGTGATGGAGAAGACAATCACTAGGGCATCTGCCCAGCGAATGCATCTGTTCAGCTGCTCATTGCAATCCAGACTGTGCTCGTGGATCTGAAAAATGAGTGGTCTCAAGTTAGAGAGCTGCAGTCATAAAAGATTAAAGGAACCTGTCTTCAGGAGTCTGGAAGGCCAAATAGCATTTTACAGCTTCAGACACATATATTTGCATTTCACATTGTAAGTATGAACTTAATCTGAGCATAGTGAATAAATGCAGATGTTGATTCAGCTGCAAAAAGCTGGAATTTAACACTGGAGTTTGCTATACTCAAATGGAAAATTGACCTGAGTAGTTCTGCATGCAGAGAAAGACTTTGTAGTTCTACAGAATGGGAAATTAACTGGCTAGACAGTAAGTCTGGGGAAGCAAAGATATGAGCTGGAAGCATTTAGACCTGGAGTGTTGCCCAGTTCAAAAAGGCAACAATCCAGCATTACTCAGGTCTATATATTCAAAACTTTAACTTTTGACACACTAATGAGCACAGCCACAATGTAGCAGACTTTGCTTTCTGTCATACACATTTATGAAGTTTGTTGGGCAGTGGTCATGGCATTTTTTTCCACATGTACCTTATTTGCACAAAATTGTTTCTGGGTTTGTGCCTAATGTTCCCAATATGCAGGAACAGACACTTCAGTAATTCATCCACTCAGAAGTAATGGCTCTCCAATGAACAAATGATCATCAAAACAGTGAGTTGTTTTCTTTTACTACCACCACACTGCAGGCACTCAACACAGCTGGTTTGACTGGTTAAAACACAAGTTACCACCTCTCCCACACAGAACACCAAACTCCAAAATGGACAGCAAAACATTTCTAGAAAGACCATAACAAGATGCTGCACAGAAGGACACAAGCGCACAAACACTTAGAGCTACTCTGGTAAACTGCATGGTTGCATCTAGCTCACCTGAACTCCTGGAGTATCTTGCACTTGGATGGCCAACATCTCTCCATCTATCTGGATGTGCCTGCTGTAGAGATTACCTGACAAGAACACCAACAGGTTCACAAATACAGCCACCACTCTGCAGACAAATGTTGCTTCTGCTGCCCATTAGTTGTGTAGAGAAAGTTGTATTGCCATTCATTAAGCAAGAAACCAGTGTTATAAGCTTCTGTGGTTAACAATGTTTACGATGTTACTAGAAGCCTGGGATTGAATCTTGCATTGATTTGTTTGAAGCTTGGTATTTAATAATGAGCAGCTTGGAACCTAATCACTTCTTAAAGACTATTTTGGCTTGGATGATAAAGGTTAAGTGCAAAATAACCCGCTTTTATTATACAGAAGAGCAGTTTGCTTGTCATTTTGTATTTACACATTTAGTGAAGCTCTCTTCTTGTTGGCCTGTAAGATTTACTGGGTTGGTTTGTTTGTTTTTCATTTGTTAGGCTTTTTCAAGTAATTTCCCCAACAGAATGCGACATATTTTACATCGGCATAAGTTTAGACTCCCCACTGTACTCACTCATAACATCACCTCTCCATTTTCCCCTTTAAGCTGGCCTTGCCTAGCCCATGTAGCTCCTGGCATTCAGTTTGCAAAGAACAGCACAACAGTAGGTTTACAGAATGTTTTCTCGTTTCAGCTAAAAGACTCCTTCAGAAAGGGGCATTTTCACCACATAAAGCGAATTCTGTCAGAGACGAGGGCTGCAGTACGACCTATCCCTAGGGCTGCCGCGGTCACAAACCGCGCGTGGCTGTGCCTGGCGTGCCCCTTTCGGAGGGCGCCGAGAGCAGACCGGGTAGGGGAGCAGCTCTCAGCCAGGACACCCCGCGGCGGCTCGGGCCGAAGGCAGCACCTGCTGGGTGTCCCCTCGGCCCCGGGGGATACTTCGCTCTCCTTTCCCACCTGTGACACGGCTCCGCGCCGGGCTTCGCGCTCTCACTCCCAGGGCAGGCACCGCCGGGGAGGCACCGGCCGGCGGCGAAGCGGCCGAGCCCCGCTTCCCTCTCTCCTCTCTCCCCTCACGGTAACCCCCTCCCTCGATCCCCATCCCGGCGGGAACAAAGACCACGCCGCCGCTCGCCTACCTGCGTTCCGCTCGTAGTCGCCGATGAACCGCCGGGTGAGGAACCGCACGACGAGCGCTGCGGGCAGGCACAGACAGCAGGGTTACAGCAGGGTTAGAGCCGCGCTCCGCCGCCCCCCGCACCCGCCTCGCCCGCTCCGCTGCCCCCTCACCTGTCTTGCCCACGCCGCTGCCCCCCACCACCGCGATCTTGACGAGGCGGGGCCGGGCGGTGGCGGGGCCGTCCCCGCCGGGCGCGCACTCGGCGATGGTGCACATACTCTGAGTCAGGCGCATCCCGCTCCGCCGCCCGCCACCCGCACCCGGCACCGCCGCTCCCACGGACCTTTTCTCGCCCCCACGTCCCGCCCCGGCCCGCGGCGGCCACTCAGCGAGACCGAACCCCCCCGAGACCCGCCCCGAGCCCCGCCCCGGGCCCCGCCCCGCCGGGCAGAGGGGAGAGGCTGAGGAGGGCCCCGGGGCTCTCGACGAGTAGCGGAGTCTGTCAGAAAAGAGGAGTTAATGTCTGTGGGCGACCTCCCCAATTTTGGGGGTCAAACACCTGCAGCACCGGGAGTTTCCGAAAATCTCACGGTCAGGGTCATCTCCCCAAATCCTCCCAGGCTGACTGAAACGCGCGCGGCGCGTGTAAAAGCTCAGCCACCTGCCTGTGTCCCAGCCTGGCGGGGTACATCGGTCCTGCGGGTGTCGGTCTGGGTGCACCTGCCATCCCACACCTCCCTCCGTCCACCTCCGGATGCCTTGCCTTCTTGCCTTGCCTTGCCTTGCGTTTTGAAATAACTACACAGAGTAGGAGCCGACTGAAACCAGAGCGGCTGTAACTTTGAAGAAATGAGTTGAAACCAAGGGATGAGGCTGAGGAAGGTCTGTGTCCTCTCAGCTTGGTAGTAAGACACAGAACAGGGGGGAGAGGGGGGAGGAATCGAGGAAAACATGGGTGTGACAGCGGTTAAAGAAGCAGAAGATAATGGCAAGGGAGGAGAATTATAAACGAGAGGCGGGTGGGAAACGGAGGACTGTACCAGCCAAGGCACAGGGAGCAGTCCATGTAAAGCACTTGAAACAGTTGCTGGCATAAGCAAGAGCCTGAGCAGCAAAATGAAGGAATAAAATCTGCCCACACGACAAGCAAAGCTTGCTAGGAGAGAGGTAACAGAGGAGGATAAAATCCCTCTCCCGTGTTCAGGAAAGAGACCTCATAATAAAGGCCACTAGATAACACTGAATGTCAATTTAAAAAAAAAAATTAAACAAATACATTTTAAAAAGCAATTGACCCAAAGTGTTTGGCTCAAAACCACAGCAGGGAAAAACATTAAAAGATAGTCAGGGGTAGAATTGGGTAACATTGGCCGAAGATGGACACTGTCTCATCAAACACACATTTGTGCAGAGCTTTATACAACCTCCAAAGCTACATTTGCACATGAAAAAAAAAGATAATGGGAATATAATGAAAACAAATTTTTCTCCTGCAGTAGCTGCTGCATTCCCAGATATAAAGATGAGAGCAGACTCTGAACAACACCTGGGGCTGAGCCGTGCTGGGTACAACAGAGGAGCAGCTCTCTTTCCAGCTACCAGATCAGCACCAGAGGTGATGGTGGTCTAGCTTTGTGAGTAGTGAGAATATTGTAAGAATAACTACATACCGAGCTCATAGGGGGAAAAAATGTTTCCTGGATGCAGATTTATTAAAATAAATAGATGCGTAAAACATAGACTTATAAAAAGCTGTTAGAAATCAAAAGGGGAAAGAGTAAGGTGTATAATTAGGGAAAAAATCAACAAGCTTAAAGAACTCAAGGACTTGAATACAAAGGAAATACTGGATTTCTTTATTCCAGAGCAGTAGAAATTACCTGGAGATTGTATCTTGAGCAAAGGGAAAGGCTTTCAAAGAAGATTTCCTGGCATGTTGGTAACTAAGGTCACTGAAAATAGAAAATTTAAAAGCACAAGTGAGGAGGATCACTCTCATAAGAAAGTTTTGTCTCCAGGATGCAGAAATGCAGAAGATAAATAATGTCATCTAGAAGTAGTTCAACCACAGAAAAAGAAACAGGGCTGTCATGCAGTCAGAAGGGCACAAAAATTGAAGGAAGTCTGACAATATTTAGAAAACCAATAAGCATTTTGCTTCCAATTTTAATAAAGATGATTGTGTGAAAGACGGAGGCAGAAGGAAGATCAGTAATGGGAAGAAAGTCATGGGTAATTACTGCAGTGGGGAAAAACAAATGATCTCGTCCAGAGTGCAGACAGACCAAGTGTATGAAGATAAGGGTGATAGGAGCAGGAAGTTTTACTGTAGCTCTCAAGTCAGTCTGGAAGACTTGCATTAAAGAAAGGGAGGGAAAGAATTTACAATAATCTGGACAAATTTTGAAGGAAAGAATAATTAAAAGTGTGGGGATACATGGGATAAAAATTAAGCATGTGATTAAATGAGATGTTTCTTAAGTAGGAGATCTTTGCCTGATACAACTTTGTTTCCCTTATTCTTCAAGAAAGGCAATGTGGTAGATGTAATCTATTTGGGATCAAAAATACTTGGTGCTGTCCAGACAGGAAACAGCTGTTGAAGCAGAAAAGTGTTTGGATCGGGAGACAACGACAGAGAGGTGTTTTATATGGGAAGTGTCAGACTGAAGGAAAGTGCTCTGTGTGATTCATCAATGCTCCTGTCGTCCTTCATATTTTCATTACAGTGGTGTCATCAGGAACACAAGCATGCTAATGAAATCTGCTGTTGACAGAGCCAGGAGACATCACCAGCTCAAACAAGGGTGGGAATAGTATACTGGAGAAACTGCATGCCTCTTGGAACAGGTTTAATGAAAATACAATTAAACTTGGCAATACCAATGACATGCAGAGATTAATCACAAAAATTTCTTCCACTGAAGATCAACACTTGGATAAGAGAGACTAGTTAATCATGAGATGAGTAGGAGCTATGTAAAAAGGGAAATGTCAGACAAGTAATTTCAGAAAAGACCTGAAGTACAGTATGTGATTCTGTTGTCCAGCCAAGAGTAAATCAATGTTTTTGTCATGGTTTAACCACAGTCAGCAACCAAATACCACACAGCTGCTTGCTTCCTCTCCACTGCCTGCCTTCATGGGACGGAGAATCAGAGAAAGCAAAACTCGTGGGTTGAGATAAGAACAGTTCAATAATCAAAACAAAACAAAATATACAAAAGTGGGGCTTGGAAAATGGGGGAGCCAGAAAAGTTAAAATTACGGGCCAATGTCAGCGTGAGAATAACTGGGTATAAGCTCCGTTGGAGTAGCAAAACACCAGAGCAGACCACTAACAAGAGTGACCACTAACAAGTCTAATTTCTCTAGATTTGAGCTGGAGGATTTTAAAGAAGGAAATACATGGTGTGATTAACTTCAGTGGCAATGAGATTTGATGATCCCTTCTAGAGGCCTACAGAGAACATTCTAACAGTATTACAGAAATAAATATTTAGACCTAACATATAACAATGCATACACCAAAGTGTCTCCAACACATAAAGGGATGTGATAGAAAAGGAGAAGTGGGAAAGGGTGAGGAAAATAAGACCATGCCTTAATAAACTGGTTTTATAAAGGAGATGATTAATTAGGGACTGGATTAAAATGCTAAAATAACTGGAGAATGGAATCTTCTTCCTCTGTCTCAAAACACCAAAAGCAAAACAATCAGGCAGACTGAAAGGTGGAACTTCTGGAAAAACTGAAATCCAAAATACATTCTTGTAAAACATATGTTTGAGTCACTGAGTCAATTCTTGTAGGAAGGCACTGGGACAAAAATTAAAATTATCTCTGTAGCAAGAAGGAGTGCACATTTATAAATTATGAGGAGATGCATTTTTCAGTACTTTATGCTAGCATAGAATTCATAAGCAGCAGTAAATCATCTTCTCAAATTTTGCAAAAATTTATTAAATATTATGGACTAGAAAGAGCTCTAATGTGGTGTGGACAGCCTTTCTCATCCATCCACCTTTGTAATAAAAAATGTCACGTCATCCAGTCAGTTAGGCAGAAGTGACCGCTATCAGAAACGAGGCCTTAGCCTGGACTGGAGCCGGTGTGAATACACACTTCTACATTTCAGGGACACATTCCTGAAGTATATTTTTTATGCCACTGTACAGAGGGTATGTTTGTATGCAGTTTACACCTGCGATAAAGACACTTCCATCAACAGCCAGGGAATAAACCTTACTTTGTTACCTAGTGGTTTGGTAATTCCAATGCATGTCTTCAGAGAAACAAGTGCTGTGGACACAGTGTTCAGAAAAACAGACAAAGTCTGCTCGTTCCAGATAAGTATTTACTTTCCAAAGCACTGTGAGTTCTGTCTTTGGTGCTTTAAAAGAGTAAATACAAGAAAACTCCCTTTTTATGGCACACGTGTCCCATGCTCTCAACATATAAAGCCAGGTGGACCAATCCCTGTGAAAAGCCCAAAGAGACTGGAGCTCTTACTCCTGCTCTCACACAGCCTTGCATCGCCTTCCAAGAGCAAAATAAATAAGGGAGAGAGCAGAGATATTAAAAGAAACTACATAAACAGGAAAACAACTTCTCTCTGTACTGCAAGAGATCTCCTGACCAGCAAAGGCCAAGCTTACCAAGCAAGATAGGATCTTCATTCCAGGGCAGAGAAAGGGAGGAGAAAGGGAACAACATGCTCCATGCACCCTCACCTACCCACAGATCCTATGTGGTTTCTATAGCAGCACAATAGCAGACATTTTTCTCTCTCCACAAGAAAGCCTGAGTAATGTTCTGCAATTATATTAGTCTGTATTTTAATCAGATTTTATCTTCTTTTAAGCTTGCATTTTTTTCCTATTTCCTCCTTATGTAATGCTCTCAAATTCTAATCCAAGAAGCAAAATGCTCAAGGTTTTCTTTTTCATTCAGGGCTGTACATCTGCTGCCCTTATTTTTTTGTGCTGATTTGTCCCCCCACAGTACAAGTAGTTGTTCTGCATGCAGAGTGCTGGTTTAATCTGAAGAGTATCTGTGTGTGGGGAGAAGTCCTGATTACAGAATCTCTTGAATTAATAGAAGCTCTAATACTTAACTCAAAAATGTATGTGAGAGAGCATGGCAGAATTTTTGTTTTCCATTTTAAGAATGCCTCAGGATCTATATTAAGCCCTCTAAAACCTGTAGCATTAAAATGCCATTACCAGCCTCTTTAAATCTCACTTGATGTTGTGAGTCAGTTCATCAGGGGGCTAACACCTGGGTTGCATTAGGAAAGGTCAGCGACAAGTCGTGCTGTGCCAGGCAAACTGTAAGATGATGCCTACAC